ACCATCTTCCACAGTCATGTTAAAATGTTATATATATATATATATAATATTTTTTTCCTGTCTTCATAGCTGAAAACTTCAGATCTTATGCCAAACTCACCCACCATAAATATTTAATTCATTCTTTCTGAAATTATCCAGGCCAGCAAATAACCAAAATACAAGCTATTAAATAAGGAAAGTACAAAGTTAAAAAAGAATATGTGTAGAAAATGCCCCCTTTCCACCCCTCAATCAAAGGCAAACAGTGGCTCTTTGCTACTGCTTAATGTAGATTGTCTTTGAAAGCTATTTAAGTGCAAAGTTCCAAACCAGTTTTCCCAGTTAGGGCTGCTGCATCCTAAACTCCCAATGTTGTTCCACTTCAGACTTCTTAGACCTCCTCATCTGGGAACTCAACTCTAACTCCATCATTTATAAGGGAGAATGTTTCAGACTAGCTAAGAAAAGGGCTTTTCTGGGATCACACAGTGAGTTAGCAGCAACAGAGTCCACACTTCCCCACCACATCAAGGAAGTCAACAGACTTCTGGGTCTACATGTCCACAGGGAGATCCCAGGGGCACGGGTCTGGAAACATGGGCAGAGGAGGTAAATAGGTGGTTTTCCTTATCAAGAATGCCATGTTCCCAGGAGTGCCTCTCGCTCTGAACCAACGCAGTCATTTCAGCACCATGGTCAGGGGCACGCCGCTCTTTTTTTTTTTTTTTCCAGGCCCTCAGTGCCCGACCAAGTTAGCCTTGCAGATCCTCTCTCTGAGCCCTTTGGTCCTAGGATCCCAGGAGCAGAGGGGTACACAGCAGCCTGTGAATCTCACTAGTGTTCCAGAGGGTAGTCAAAGCGTAAGGGAGGCTCTTGATCTTACAAGACTCAGAAGACCCAGCTCAAGCCAGAGCACAAACTACTATAGGTTGAGTTGGCACAGAGGAGATGACTCTAAACTTAGCCTAGAGCCAGGGTCATGCTTTTGGTTTGCTCCAATAACTCCATCAGTGACTGAGGGCTTTGGGCAAGTCACCTGCTTCCAAGACTTTGGCTCTCTGTTTCCATGGGTGTCACCATCCTGCCTTGCCCACCTCACCGACTGTAGGTGGGGCCCTGAGATGAGTGTCCAGCCCCCAAATCTCCCACTGCCTGTGCTCTTGGCTTCTAAAGGTGGGGCAAGCAGACAAGGTTAGCGAGTGTCCCCGCACTGCCCCACCCGCTTCTAGATCACAGGCTGCAGATATGTAAAAGGGGAGGAGCGGGAAAAGAAACACAACAGAGAATCCTAATTACATACATGTAAGATGTAATTATAGTATACTCAGTGTTTGTTCTGTAGCACATTCTCAGCCGAGCCCCCCTTCTTCAGTGTTCCACTGGACCAAACGTCTCTTTCCCACCGCTTTTGGTCGCAGGGCCCTATAACTCCATCTATCACAGGCACAGCCTTCTCTTAGGTTCCCAGAAACCCAGTGAAAGGGTGTGAGAGACTCTCCCCAGCTTCTCATGTGTATCAGCTGAGGCTCAGAGACCCGTTCAAGGTCACACAGCTGGGCAGAGTGGCCCGTGGATGAAAGGTGGAGCAAAGTACGCCTGTGGGGTCGTGTGCTCTCTTGGCCTCACTTGCCTTTGTGCCAGCCCAGCGGCCAGGCTCCCAGACATTAGCATTCCAATGGCCCTGGGAGGCTTTGTCCTCCAGCTACTGCCGGCTTGGGGATGGGGTGGGATGGAGGCAGGGCACCATAAATCTACCTGCTTGTGTGTGGGGATGGGGTGGGGTGGGGTGGCCACAAGATTCATGTGCTGTTTTTCTGGAAGCCAGGGCTCAGACAAAGGCAGAACAGCAGGAGGAGGGGAAGACTCTTTCAACTAGAGCATCTTTCCTGCCCCCACTTGGGACTCTGTCAGGGTTTGAGGGATCTGGGGTGCAGGAAACAACATCAGACCACAGGAGGCTCCACACTCACTGCGGCTGAGGCATAGTGGTAGGGGGCTTCTAGCTGAGATCCAGAGCAGCCTGACTGATTTTAAAAGCTGGTGAATGCAAAATGCCTGTGGACGAGTGAGGATGTAGTGGTGATGATGCTGGGTTTGTGTGTGCCACCCAGAAATGTTTCCTAAACCCTTCTTGATGTGGGGCTCTTTGGAAAAAGGATGTTTCCCACCTCAAGGTGATTTCTTTCACTGTGATGGAGCTCATCCTTGGTAAGGAGCTCTAAACCTTCCTCCACCTCCTCCTGACTTGGAGAGTTCAGCTGACAGCTCTGGGGGTTCAAATCTGCCCCTTCCCAAGGTGACAATCCAGCATCCAAGTTGGTTAAACAATACTTTTAAAAATAATTTGTAGGTTAGAGGACCAGTCTATGTGCGTTGGGTAACTTTTAGCTTCTTATTTATTTATTTGCCACTTAAGTTATTTAATTGAAGGATAATTGTGTTACAGCATTTGTGGTTTTCTGTCAGACAACAAGAATCAGCCATAGGTACACCCATGTCCCCTCCCTCCTGAATCTCCCTCCCATCTCCTTCCCCATCCCACCATTCTAGATTGTGAGTGACTAATAGCTTCTTAATGCACACCCTCACAAGCAGGAGAGGGGCTGGGCAGTGGGTGCCTCCACACAGAACACAGGGTTAATATTTTCTGCTTCTGAAAGTTGTTTGCACCAAAGGAATCCCCTGCCTATTTGAACACTGCTCCCCACAGCCTTTCACAGGGAGAAGGATCTTCATGCTTGAGGACCTCCTCTCCAAATGTTTGGTCCTGGCCCAATATAAAGTGTTCTCTGGCAAGCTTCCTAATCCAGCCACAGAGAATAGTCCCACTGTCCTTCCTGTGGCTCCTACCTCCACTCAGCACCAATGTTTTTTCAGCCTTGAGTGATTTTGTCTGTATACTTGCTATTGTCCCAGGAGGACAGAGATGGACCTTCCTGATTTTTATGTCTCCCCTCTCTCCCCTCACCCCCCAGTGTCCAGTAAGCGGCAGACCCTGCCTTGGTCTGTGCAACTTGGAGCTGCTGACACCTGCCCTGGGCGGTGCCGCAGGTGGAAAATTGGCTGCTGCAGAAGTCATCAATAACCCATTAATCTTCTCCTCCCAGATTAAAGCCATGAAATGAAACTACACCTTTGTTCATTTGTTTGCAGTGTCCCCCTTCCTGCCCCCAAATCCAGCCCCTGATAACTAAGACATATTTCCTTCAAGCTATCTTTAGGGACCTAGGAATAGAGGAGAGAGGAAAAGTTCAATTTGAAGCATTGGGTGGGGGGTGCAGAGCATAAGAGATAGATGCAAAAGACATTAACCCCTGCAAAGCCACCACCTTTGTGCTTTAACACTGGAAAGCAACCTACTCTATGACTCCTGGTCCCTGCCTCTGACCCCACTGGTGTTGGCCTGCTTCTTCCTTGGGCACCGTGGGCCAATCCAAGGAGGCCTTTGTGGTTCAACTTATAGGGTAGGGTGCCTGCCCTGTGTGGGTTCTTGGAGCTCAAACCTGCTTCCTGGACATCCTGGGACATCTTGGAAGCTAATATAGAGCTGCTCCAGCAGTGCTTTGGGGACTTTCAGTGTCACTGTGCATCAACCCTACTCTACCTTGGAAGTAATAGAGAACACGTGGCTGGAAACCTTGAATACTTTCTTGAAAAGAATAAGAATTTGTTCAAACAAAGCTGCTGGTTGTTGGGAGGTGTCAGAAACTACAGCCAGACCCTCCACCTCCTCTGTTCCCTGCCACGGGGTATCACAAGTCACAAGGTCTCATCCCCAGCACCAGAAATGTAAAATGAGCTATGACATTGTTCTTAGTCTCTAAGCATTCAGGGATAATTCCTAGGATGCTCAGCCTACCAGTGTTTCTGACCCTGCTGCAGGGTTATTATTCCCTTCCTTCCCCAAATGCAAGTTACTCTAAATCCAAGCTAGTGGCATAACAGAAAGGGCCAGCACCATGTGAGTAGCCCTAGTTGGAGGCTTGTCTTATTCCTAAACCACTTTTTGGAATTAGACAAGTCGCTGCTCCATAAATAAACCAAGGAGTCTGAGCCAATGATTTTTAAGTCTTCCAGTTCTTCTTTTCCAAGTGTGTATAGCTGACTTGCAATCTGCCTGGCCTCCAGCCTAGCACCATAGTTTCTAGGTCAGGCCTCAGCAGGGGCCCCAGACCCCCAGATCCCCAGAAAGTATCTCCTACCTTTCCTTAGACAGGGCCCCCTCCCCCAACCCCAGTCACAGGGGCTGGGCCCTCCTCTCCACACAATCAAGTTACCTTCCTCAGGCTTCTTGAGAATCGTTTTTTATTGGCTCAAAATCTCATTCACCAGTCCCTAAATAATTTTATGTACAAAATAAAGACTTTCCCACTGTGAAGTCTCACCAATAAATACAAACATAAAACGGGGGAGAGGCCATATAATTTACCAGACAAAAATTCATTTCAAGAGACATTACATCATTTACAAACTTTTTTTTTTTTAAGACAAGGCGCTCCAGTTTGCAGGGTGGTGGTAGAGGCGCTCCCCCAGTGGGTCGCCTTGCCTCCTGCCCCTGAGAGGGCAATGGCTCCGGAAAAGTGCACAAGGAGAAGGCAGAGCATCACCTTCATGGATTAAGGCAGAGTAGAGAGGCCCAAACTCCTGGGACTTCACAGGGACTAGAGAAGGTCAGAGGCCACTTTGAAGAAGACAACCTGGGAACAAGAGTGAGGGCTGAGAGACCAAATATTGGGTGAAGTAGTATTGGAGGGAGATTTTGGGGTGGCCACGGGGAGAGGGCTTAAAATGCGCGGAGCATGCCATGCCCACTCGCGCGGGCAGCGGCAGAGGATGTAAGCGCATAAGACCAAGGGATTGAACCCGGCCTGCCACTCTCGGGTGCCTGGGTCCTCAGGGGTCAGTGAGCCAGAGGCAGGAGGACCAAGTAGGTTTGAGAGCCGCCGCCGCGCATCTCCGACAGCCCCCGCCCCTGCCCCTTTTCCCAGGACCCACCGCCCAGCGGCGGACAGGCCCCTTCATAGAAAGTCTGAAAAGGCCAGAGCGCCAGGGTGCAGGCAGGCCGGGGAAACAGGCGCCTGCAGCCCAGGTCGGTCCTCCAGCGAGGCGGCGGGGCTCAGGCTTCCGGCCTGGGAGACCGGGGAATAGAGGGAGCCCCAGTCTCCCGGGGAACCGCCGTCTGGGCTGGCCAGCTCCTCGCAGGGCGGCGCCAGCGGCTCCAGCCCGTAGAGGCTGTGGTCCGCTATGCGCAGCGTCTGCGTCAGCGCCCAGATATAATTGTAGGCGAAGCGCAGCGTCTCTATCTTGGTGAGCTTCGCGTCGTCCGGAAAGGTGGGCAAGACGCCGCGAAGCGCGTCCAGCGCAGAGTTGAGGTTATGCATACGATTGCGCTCGCGGTCGTTGGCCTTCTTGCGCCGGCTCCATCGCTGTTTGCTCAGAGCCAACTCACTCTTGGGGCGACTGCGCCCCCCGCGCCGCGCCCGGAGCTTCCTCGAGGCCCCTCGGCAGGCGCCCCCTTCCGTCTCGGCGCAGTTCTCCAACACGCGAGTGGGGCTGGGTGGAGTGGATGCGACGCAGGTCACTTCGTCGTCCGAGGCTCCCAGGAAGCGCTGCTCCGTCTCGTGGGTCACTTGGACAGGGGGCGCACACGAGGGATGAGGCGCCATCCTGCGGCGGGGTAAGAGGTAAGGGTAAGAGTGGGTCCGTCACCTGAGCGAAGTTCCCAATCCTGGGGCCAGGTGGGGGAAAATGCGAGAGAAGGCCACCTCCTGCCGGCCAGAGGACCCGCTTTCCCCTCCTCCCATCGCTCTGTGGTTCCAGGTGTTACCTTGTTGTAGGGCGCAAAGGGGTAGAGTGGTGGGTAGTGAGAGCAACGGTGAGCTGAACTGGCTTTTCCGTCTGCAAGTTCAGTTGAGAAGCAGGCGCTGCCGCTCGAAAGTTTCTCTGGCCCCAGAGAAGATACGTGTAAAGGAGGGTCCCGGGCTTCTCTTGCTCTCTCTTGGCACAGCTGCGAGACCCTGCGGATTTTCTGAGCGGAAAGTCGTGTGCCCCTAGGCACGCTTTATCTGCTGCGCCCTGGGACAGGAGCGTGCCTGCCCCGCTGCTGCCCGCGCCACCGTCCAATCAGCGTCCGGGCCAGGGGGCCGCGCCACGCGAGCCCGCTCCGCCCTTCAAGGGGCACAGCTGGATTCCGGACAAAGGGCTGGGGTCGGGGGAGGGGAACGTCGCTCTGTTTGCGCTCTCCCCGCGGGCTCTGTCCCAGCAACTCTCGGTTCCTCAAAGGGCCTCGCCCAGTGAGAAGGGTCTGGTCTAGCTCGCGTCTGGCGGTCTCAAATCACTTTGCTCCTATTCTGGTTTCCCTTGGCATCTGTCCAGACCTTTTCTTGGTATTCTGAAGGGGGCTTTGGGAAGGCAGTAGGGTGGGTCAGTCCCGTGAGTTATACAAGGGGAAACAGGTTCAGAAAGGAGGCAGCTTGCTCCAAATCACTCTGCAAGGACAAGGAGCTAGGTATACTATCAGTTTAGAGGAGTGTCCACTAATTCCTAGTGCCATTCTCCTCTCCTCCACTTTGGGTCAGGTTAGCAAGTACTCAGAGCGCGTGTTTCACTGACACTCCATTTTGGGAGGCACGGGGGCGACTACACAGAGAGATCCTGCCTACCTCCCTGCTACTTAGAGACTGTCACCTTCTGGGGATGCTGAGTGCCGGCCTCCCCTCCACCCCACATCCCCGCCTGCCAGGCTTTGAGATGACACTGCCCACACTCCTTAGATGTAGGTGCTTAGAACCTCTCCCCTCATCCCCTCACCCCCGCAGAAATCTAAGACGTTATCTTCGTGCCCCAGAGGCAGCGAATATCTATGGTGGGACCTCCAGGAGGCATTCTGCCACAAACAATTTCAGACAGTACTCTAGGGATCCGATGGGGCATGCAAAGGAAGAGCTCAGATGAGAATGGGTCAGGAGATGGCCAGGAGTTCATAGCAAGCCTCTGTGTCTTTTAAATGCCCCCGGAGTGCAGGTGCAGAAGCAGATCAACTCTTTCTCTCTTAGTCCTCCTGTCCAGTCACAGATGGGCAGGGGCTGTCTGCACTACCTGGTCCTGTCCCCTTGGCAGAGGTCAGGCAGTGAGCACAGGGCAGGGACTCTTCACGGCTCCGGTTAGTGCCATCTGGAAAGCTTTCCAAAGTGAGCCTGAACACATCATCCCTCCTTTCTTTCTCTACTCATCCCTTTTGTCCCTGCCTTGGACACTCTGTGGTCTTCTGCTTCAGGGTAAGTGTGGCCTGGGGGAGGATGCCCTCAAGCTAACCCAGCCTCTCTCTGACCTTTAATGATCTGCCCATTGCAGGCCCAGAGCCCTCAGGCATCCAGTGCCACTCCTGCACCCTGCCCCCCCACCCCCACCAGCAGGCCCTCCACACTGCTCCTAAGAAGTTGGGAAACAGGTGTCTGAATTCAGTCTCAGCAGGCCCAGAAGGCATTACTTTCTAGCAGGTCCAGATACCCTGAGCTGAGTCTCCGTAAGCTGGTGGAGGAGGTAGGATCCTGCAGGGAAACTGAGGGAATGAGGTGAGTCTGCATATCTACCCTAGTGACAGCCAGCCTCTCTTCATTTGCCCACTCTGCGTGGAGGGCGGAATTACCTCTGAGGCAGAGAGAGGGTGGATGCGCTTGGGAGCCAGGGAGAAGGAGCTCCAGGACTGTGTGGAGATGAAGGTGCTGGCCTCAGGGTCTCAGCTGGTGGGCTGTTGGCAGAGGCTCCTTCGCTTGTTGCCAGGGAACTAAGCTCTGGGCCAGGCTCCAGACCAACAAAGGGGCCCTGCGGAGACTCCCGAGTTTCACATTTTGCTGCTGCTCCTCCCTTGGGTCACAATTTGCTCCACATTTGTCTTCTAATTATACGAATGAGAAACTGAGGCCCATTTTACAGATGGAAAGTCAAGGCCCAGAAAGGGGAAGTAACTTATTCAAGAGATCACACAGCAAGTTCTAGCAGAATCACATACATAGAACGCAGGTCCTAAGACTCCTAATCCTAGATTTTCCCTTGCACCTCTTTGTTGCCTCTCTTTGATTGGGGAGAAAATAGATATTTTTTCAAGGCAGAACCAGACATCCCAAAATGTTGAAGATAGAAGGAATGACATGGTCAGAGTAGATAAAGGACAGTGGCCCCTTCTCCCAGTGCCAATAGGAGCCAGTGTCCAGTCATGTTCTGTCTCTCTACTTTCTCACCCTCTATGCCTGCCTTTCTTGATTTCTATCCTGCAAATTAGGAACTGAGAGAGGAAACCCAAAGTGTGCTTCCCTGGGGCTAGGGGACCCAGCTTGGCTCGGAGGAGTGTGCCCTGGCCATAAGGAATCAGAACACCCCTATGCGTCTCTGGACGCCTGAAAGTAGCCCACAACTAGGGCTCTCATCCCGCAGTGGCTGTCGGATGATAAGCCAAGGCAGCTCTCACCGTGGCTCAGTCTTGCCTCAAGTGGCTCATGGGTAGTGACGAGGACCGCAGGGCAAGCTTTCCGCACCAGGGAAGATTTTGGGGTTATTTGGATACTTTCTTGACTGGGAGAGAATTCTGGCACCCGCTGAGAATTCTTATCTAGCTTCCCTGGCACCACTCCGGGTCAGGGCTCTCCAGGGCTTGCGGACCGCCACCACTTTCGCTTTGCGCAAAACAGTCAGGGCGAGGAGCAGCGCGCAGCAGCCGAGGTCAGCGATTTCCGTGCGGAGAACGCTCCGCAGCTCTTCAGCTGGTCAAGAGGGCGGGGCCTGAGGTCGAGGAATCCTAGGGGGTTAGAGATCACGGATCCACGTCCTCCCTTTCAGCGGGAGAGGACGCACAGGCCCCTCTCCAAAGTTAATTCCTGTCCTTTTGGCGGCGGAGGCGCAGACTGTGACAACTCAGTGCGCGCTGGCGCTATTTGTGAAAGGACTCTTCCAACCGGCAGCAGAGCTTGTTCCTGAAGCCCCCGGCGGACTACCGCCTCTAAGACCTTTGGGAACCCCGCGCCCTTCCACTCACTGAGACCTAGGCCGCCCTGCAGGCTGAGGCGGCTCAGGAACGAGGCGACAGCCTGACGCCTGGAGACCGCGGGCAGAATGGAAAAGAAGGGAAGGCAGCGGTCCGCCCTGCCGCCTTCCTGTCGGCGGGGGGAATTTTAGCAGTGCCTGGGGGCGCTTTCAGAAAAGAGAGGAAGGGAAGGGGGCCACAAGAGGCTGAATAGCTAATGACTTGCCGGAGGAGGGGGCTTCTTTCTCTCGCCTTCGCCTCGACGCTGAAAGAGGGGAAGACAAAAATCTGGCGAGCGAGCTGCCCAGGCCGAGACTGGCCACTTCAAACAGCCCTTCAAACAAAAGGAGACGACGAAAAGAAAGCCCCACCTGTCTCCAGTGTTTGCTAAAATAATAATAAATAGATTTCGTTTAATAAATAATTACAAGAGATTGTAAAGTGGAGTGCTTTGGAAAACATCTACTGCGGGAGTCCCGCAGCCAGCCGTCACCTGCTCCCAAGGCTGGCAACTTTATTGTTAAGCCACCCCCCAACTAGTTTGCCTCTGATAAACTCTCCCTCGTTTTCACAATGACTGTTTACTCATAGTTAGCACAATATTACCTTTGCCGTGATAAACCCAGAGGGGGGAGATCTGGCCCCTGGCCCCTGGGCGCACCTGTCCCAGAAGCTGACACATGGATTTGGCACGGAGCAGGCCTCCCCCCGGGCCTTCCCCCGTGTACATTGGCCCAATTGCCACCCATTTATAACAGGTTGGCTGCAAGGCCTATCTCGGTCCTATTTGTCTTCTTTTATTGAAAGCATATGGTCTCCAGGGGCTCACCAGCCCCATATTTCATCTGCCGGGAGCTGGGGCGCTTCCGCAGGCTGGTGCGGCTCTGCGCGCTGCTCCCCACCCAACGGCTGCTGCACCCGCTGAGGATGGCGGAGGTGGGGTGGGGGAAAGATAAGCAGGGCTCCCCGTTCGCGTTGGGAGAGAAGCTCTTCCCCCAGAGACTCCCCCTCCCCAGCTCTGGGACCTCGTGCGCTCTTGAATGGCGAGCCAGTTCTTTTTCTTGGGTAGGTGAGAGGGCGCCATATGCCGCCCCCCAGGGCGCACGAGGGAGCTCCGGCTCAGGGAGCCCTCAAACAAAGAGAAGAGAGGGCTGGGACCTCAGGAGCATCCGAGGTCTTTATTTGCAGATCCCCCTCCCTGCCTAGGGCCGCCTCCCCCGCCAGGCATCCGTAGCTCGCAAGCAGGGCTTGGAAACAAAGTGTCTACATTATCTCCGCCGCCGACGGAGACAGTGAATGCGTGAAAAGGTGCATTGCGCATCAAGACACCTGTTGAAGCGGCGCCTCTTCTCAGCGCCTCTCTGTTTTGCCCTCGGTCAGGAGGGAGTGGGGGGTGGGAGGAGGGAGAGATACTGTGATTTGTGGCGACATATGTTGAGCAGATCGGTGTGTACCCTTCACAGGGACGCATGCACCCTCGCTCCCATACACGCCCCGAGAGAAGGAGCAGCTGCTCCCCTTACCTTCTCCCGACATAATACCTGGGCCAGGCGCTTTGGCATAGCCTTTTGAGACTCCAGCTCTCCCCCACCCTCTTTGCCTTCCGCCCCCACCCCCCGTCCCAATCTTGGCAGCTCCGCTGTAGGACTTTATTGTCAAATTTAACAGATGCACGTTTGTTCCCAGCGCCTGGGCCTCACACATACACACACACATACACACACGCAGCCATCCACAGAAAACGCGACGGATGACACAGATGCGGAGCGCGAAATGTCCATATGCCAGGCTCCGCGCCCGCCTCGGCTGGGGAAACAAACAGGGCTGTGTGATTTTCCCTCCCCAGAAAGGAAGAAACGGGAACCGCCGGGGGGCCATGAGGCCACCTCCAGGCACCTCTAATTCCGCGCTAGCCCTTTGGCGCGGTGACGCACTGCGCCGCACGGCGCTGGGAGAGTGCAAGGTGTGGAAGCAGAGCTCAGACGCAAAGGCTGCTCTAGGGATAAGTCCTGAGGGCTGGACATCTGGCCCTCGCATGACCTCTGGGTTTCTAAACTCCTGAGCGGTGCAGACGCCTCCGTCCTCCCGGGATTCCTGGGAGTGAACATCCACCTGAGGCGCGCTAGGACTGGAGGAGTCCGTGGGCACCCTTTGCCTGCCCGCTCCTCTCCTCCGTGGGGGGCGCGCTCCCGGAGCAAGATGAGAAGAGCACTGGTTTGGGGGAGGGGGCCTGTCTCTGCCAATAGCCTTGTGCCACTCTGAGCGAATTATTTCACCCCGACCGCAGTTTTCCCTCTATTAAAGGAAGAAGTTGTGGAGGAAATACTTTGTAATTTTCAAGTTTTGCAAAATTTGTAAGTCTTGGATAGCAGGGGGCCTTGGGCTGTGAGTGAAGGGAAGACAGAGAGAATGCGTCTCTCTCGCCTCCACATCCCCACTGGTTCCTGGATCTGAATTTCTGGGTGGATAAGTCTTTCCCCAACAGTTGTGGGAAAAGACAGGCACTGAGGGGTGTGGGAGCTCTCTTCTGTTCTTCCATCTTTCAATTTTCAGGGCACAGGCAGCCTTTGGGTGTCTCAGGACACTCAGGCATGCCTGATGATACCAGGCTTTCAGACCTTCATTTACTTCCAGTGCCAAGATGGAACTGGGAAGCTGGGTGACGGGTATGGCTCTTAAGCCCCTTAGCTCTCTAGGCCTGTTTTTGGAGAAAAACGTTCTCCGCACCCTCATGGACTCAATGGACATGAGTTTGAGCAAACTCTGGGAGATAGTGAAGGACAGGGAAGCCTGGCATGCTGCAGTTCATGGGGTCGCGAAGAGCTGGACGTGACTTAGGGACTGAACAGCAACAACCCACCCTCATTGTGAGCTTGGATGAACTCTGCTCATTTTGAAAGACAGAGATAGCCTCCCTCAGTCTTTCACAAATTGTGTTTATTTTCTGTGCTTTTTTTGACTGTATGTGGTTCTGACATTTCTGATATTCCCTGGCCCACGGCAGGGGGGTAGTCTCCTTTGGTAGAAGTCACCTTTGTGGAAACCAGGGCTTGTGTTGGCAGGGGAGCCCTCTGCCTGCTGCTCCCCCTGTTCCCCTGCCCACCCACCCCAGCCCTGTGGGGATTCTGTCTAAGCAGTGGGAATCTTAGGGTGTCAGAACCGCCGTGAGGTGGGGGTGAGGGCACATCTCTTCTTTAGGTCACCATAGATGAAATACTCACCCCTCCTCCAGATGTCAGGTTGGGGAGGCAGCCTGGGGTAGGGTAGAAGGTGGGGAGGGTCAAGGATTAATTCTAGATTAACTCCACGGAGAAGCAACAGAATGTAATACAGTGCAGTTTTCCACGAAGTACTTAATAACGTTTGTGTCCATATAGAAACTTGAAGGCAGCAGATTACCTTCTCACTCAACCTGTTGGGGTTCCAGGAAGGAATTTTTCTTGTCCCTGTTTTGCTCCTGAAGCTCAAGGTCATAGAGTCTGGAACTCCTCTTCCCCATGTCCCCTCCAGCCATCTGGCAGGGATCCTTCATTTAGTCACCCTCCTGGCCCCTACCTGCTGCTCAGACTCCAGGGACTTCATTCTGCCACCCCATGGAGTCCTTTGGAGGTGGGCAGGCCTCAGCCAGGGGTTTGGGGGCACAGGAGTTGAAGGGCTTGGGAACAATAAAGAAGGCAAGCTTTCCTTTCTCTCTTGTCTTTGTCTTCCTGTGGCTTCCAGGAGCCTCCCTTAGCTCCCCAGCAACACTATGGAGGTGGGACCAGACTTGCAGGATCTTGAGATTGCAGGCCTTCTTAATTTGTGTGCCCAAGGCACCTCACTTAGCCTGACCACAGCCCCAGCCCTGCTGAGAAGGCAATAAGCTTCATATTCCCCCTTGTTTAGACCATAAAGCAGATGGGCCCCAATTTTTTTTTTATAACATGGCACTATCAGAAAATTATTTTAGGCACACACTTCAAAATATGTTAGCTACTTATAATTCTTCACATATTACGTACAATATAAAGCATATGCGAAGTATGATTTATTATAAATGATAGATGTCTTTCTGTACTAGACAGTACAAGCATTGGAAAAGAGAATGTGATTTGAGCCAGACACTCTGTGTCCCATTTTGGATTTCTGCACTAGTAGCTGTGTACCTTTGGCGAGTTGACTCAGCCTCTGGGAGCTACCTTCATTTCCACACCTATAAAATGGGCATAATAAGAGAGTGCCTATGTCATTGGGCTTAAATGATTGGATTCATGTAAAGTGATCAACGTTAGCACATAGTGTGTGCTCAGTCTTTATGAATACAATGTAATATGTATGTTATTAAACATACCTTCAAAGAAATTTGCATCCAAGAAAAAAAAATACGTATATCTAGACGTTCTAGTATGTGATTCTGCTCATGCTCCCCTGTTCAGGCAAACCACTTTGAAGCCTACTGTGTTAAGCCACTTGTATAGCAGTATCATCAACAGTTATGACACAGGTTTACATTTGATGGGCACTTGATTACCCATTATTATTTCTCAGCATACCAGTGAGGCCACATGGTCAGAGATCTTAGTCCCAATCTATGTAGGAAGAAACTGAGGCTTTAGAAAGCTGATGTGACTCACCCAAGGGCACCCAGTTTGTACTGTGGACTCTGAATAAGAATCTAAGTCTTCTGACCCCAAGGCTGTATCTCATCCATCCTGGCTCTCCCTTACACTATGCATCCCACTTATGAGCTGGTTTTAAACCCACCCATTTAGGCTTTTGCAGAACAACTATCAAGGAAGGGGGTGCAGGCTGATCAATGAGCTGGTGGTATGTGCATTCACTCTTGTCTAGCAGAAACCATAGTGGGCTTGGAGGTCCCTGGCATGTGACCCTGTTTGGTAGGTGGATATACTTTGCAGATATAAGTATAGAAGGAGACTCCTATGCAAAGCTTCGATTCTACACAGGAAACTTCAAGTCAAATTCCTGTCAATGCAATTGCCCAGACACCAAGATGGCCCAGGTCAATTGGGCACAACCTTTACCTTTGTCCCATAAATGTTATGAAAGGCCATTATGGGAGGGTAGTGGCCAGCTGTTCCCCACAGTCACTGAGATTAGACTTAGGGGAAGTAGTTTGAATCGAAAAAAGAAACAGGGATTTACATTACTTATGACCATGTTTTCCCTAATAGATAAACATAATGAGAATCCTCTTCAGATGAGGTAAAATCCTCTCTGTAAAGACCTCCCTTTCTCTGGCCTAGAATGATTATGCGGTTTGCTTAGAGGCAGGGGAATGGACTGGATGACCCCAGGAGACCCTATTCATCCCCATGGCTTCACCACTGTGACTGTTCAGTTTTGTAGAACACACTTGGGGAATCACTTGCCACAGGAGCCTTTCAAGATCATGGGTGGTATTCATTACTATAGTTCTTAACCTGAGTGAATTGGAAGTAATACCAGGTCCATCCTGAAGAGTTACAGAACAACAGCACAAACCCATGATGTGCTGGGTGTTGTGAGAAATATCCAGAACCAGAGGGTTAGGCTGAGAAAGACCTTCACTAGTATGTGGTCCCCAGCACTAAGTTGACACGTAATTGGGAAATGAAGCTCAGAAAGGAAATATGTCTTGTCCAAGGTCACACTGCAAGTGTGGCCACATCAGAACCCAAGTCACCTTCCACTATCCCATGATCAAGTCCCAGAGCCCTCCTTGCTCCGTGTTGTTCTCATCTGGGACCCGTCCTTCTCTGCCTGGTGTGTGGAGGTCCTTGTCCTGTGTCTCCCACAGTAGAGGATGAGCTCCCTGAGGACAGGGGCTGTGTCATGTTGAGAATTTAGCAGGGATGTTGTAAATGGTAGGTCTCCAATAGAGACCAGCTTGAGTGGCTCAGACAGGTGAACATTATGTGAGACCTAGACATCTGGGCAGCAGCCAAAGGTTGACAGAATATGGAAGGAGTGGAAGAAGCTGATCAGACTCTTACTGTTGTGTAAACTCTGATGCAGGTGGTGGAGCCAAGGCTGTGGAGGTGATGGGAGCAGAGAAGGGGAGGCACATGCTTCCGTTTAAGGACACAACATAGAAGTTGTGTATATTACTTCTGTTTCAGTTTCAGTCAGCTAGTGCTTAATCCCAAGGCTCTGTGTAGCTGCAAGGGAGGTTGGGAAATGTCGTCTGAAATCTGTTTGACTGTATGCCTAGTTGTAAGTTGGAACTCTATTAACAACAGTCTTTATCACATTTAGTTATTGGAAAAGATGAACTTTTCCTCTTTGGACTGCAGTAGAGATCCTTAATGTAGTGTCCATTCCCTCAGGCTAGGGGCTCCCAAGGATCATGAAACCCGGAAGTTGGTAGGCAATGTTCTCTGTATGCATGCATCTTTCTGAGCAGATTCAGAGTTTCATCAGATCACCAAGGAGACTTGGCCCAATTCCCCAAACATTAAGAATTAGCTATCTGAAGGTTGCTGAGAAATTTTGAGCAAGTCACAAAATCTCTTTGTGTGAATAAAGAGCTTGAATAAAGTTCTGGTGAAACAAAATGATACTCTTTAAGTCATTTAGCATATACGTACTGAAATCTAAAGTGAGCCAAGCCCTGTGTCAGCACTAGGAATAAATCCAGTTCTGGTCTCCAGAGCTCAGAGTCCAGTGGTGAAGGCAGCAGGCACCTAGGTTAGGAATTACAGAACATTTCTGTGCCTGTTACACCAAATCAGGCCCTCTGGTAGCCCAGAAGTCTGAAAATTAGCAAGTCTTCCAGATGCTATTGATACAAAGCCAGAGTTGGGGTGAGGCCACAGATGACTAACTTATAAGCATTTGATGAGGTCCCTGCAGGCAAAGGTACAGGAACTGAGGCTGGGGAGAAGAGTCCTGGGCTCCAGGTTCTAACTCCAGCTCTGTGGAACTGTAGACAGCTCTCTGTAGACTGCTCACTTATCTATGAAGAGGAGGTATTGAGAGTGATCAAGAATAGACTCTGAGGTAGACTCTGAAGCCAGGTAGCTTTGAATCCATGCTATGGATGGATCTGAATCTCTTTGTAATGTTGGACTAATTACTTAATTTCTCTGGCTTTGATTATTTTATATAAAAATGGGTGCAGTCATAGTGCTCACATCCAAGGCTGTTCTTGTTTTAAATGAGATAATAGATGTCTAGCACTTAGAACAGTGCCCAGCTCATAGCAAGGGCAATGCTTTATTGAAGGTTACTGGGTGCTAGCTCCTGGGTCCTGAGCCAGTCTTTGATGGTCCATATTTCACACCCTGGGAAATGCCATGAGGACATTAGAGAAAGTCTGGAGACAAAGGACAAGAGAAAAAGACTAAGAGAAGGCAAAGGGTGATGTTCTGAAATATTAAAATATGCAGTATTTTCAGAGCCATGTCTTAGGAGAAAAGGTTGCTTCTACTTTTCCAGAGGTCTTTCCTGGCATTCCAGCTCCAACATAAATCTCCTGTCTTAGGATACCCATGTTTCTTTGTGTATGATCGAGGGGCTTATGTCATAGAAAAGAAGGTGAGGCGTTGGACACAGGATCATGGCATCCACTGGTTATTTCACATGTGACACCTTTGAGAAGCTGCTGGCTTAACAGAGTATTGGCATGGGCTCCTGAAAGCACCACTGAGTCATCAAGGATAGAATAGCATCCTCCAGAACACAGTATACAGTTTTGTTTGCTTGTTGAAATATAGTTGATGTACATTATGTTAGTTTCAGGTATACTGCACAGTGATTTGACATTTGCATACATTATGAAGTGATCACCACAGTAAGTCTAGTAACCATCTGTCTCTATACAAAATCATTAGAGTATTACTGACCGTATTCCTTATGTTGTATATGACATAACTGTGGCTTATTTATTTTATAACTGGAGGTTTTAACTTCTTAATCCCCTTTACTTATTTCAACCCTTTCTATCCCCCTCACCTCTGGAAACCACCCATTTATTGTCTGTGTCTATGAACCTTAATTTTTTTTAGGTTCCACATATAAGTGTCTGACTTATTTCACTTAGCATAATAAACTCTATCCATCCACACTGTCACAAATGGAAAACTTTTATTTTTTTATGGTTGAACAATATTCTACTGTGTATGTATGTGTATATATCTATATCTGCATTTATATCTTCTTGATCCATTCATCTATTAGCAGACATTTAGGTTGCTTCTATATCTTGGCTATTGTAAATAATGCTACAGTAAATACTGGTGTGCATTTGTCTTATTGAATTAGTGGTTTTGTTTTCTTTGGATAAATACCCAAAAGTGGAATTGCTATATCATATGTCAGTTTGATTTTTCTATTTTTTGAAGAACCTCTGTACTGTTTTCCATAGTGGTTGCACCAATTTACCATCTGTACCAACCAGGCATGAGGGTTCTCTTTTCTTCACATCTTCACCAACATTTGCTATGTGTTGCCTTTTTGATGATAGCTATTCTGACAGAAGTGGGGTGATATCTCTCTGTGGTTTTGATTTGCGTTTCCCGGATGATTAGTGATGATTAGTTTTAGCAAGCTCCAGCAGTTGGTGATGGACAGGGAAGACTGACGTGTTGCAGTCCATGGGGTCACAAAGAGTTGGACATGACTGAGTGACTGAACTGAACTGAGTGATGCTGAGCATCTTGTCACGTGTCAGTTGGCCCTCTGTATGTCTTTTCTGGCAGCCATAGTGTACATTCTAAATCAACACTATATGGTGCCGTGTACTCCACAGGGCAGAAACGTGAGTCCAGGAGTTGAGAAAGTAGACCCTATGAACACAAAGGGACAGTGCTCCAATTAGGAGATAGAACATAAGTGCACGGAACTACAAATTTAGTTTGCAGCCCTGGCATATCAAGTTCCTTGAAGCAGGAAGATGAGTCATCATTTTGGCAGAAGTAATTTATTTCAACCCCCAGAATGATGTAGACGGTTATTACAAGTGAAGGCAGGGAGTCTATCTGGATGATACACTTGGACGAATCTTGGTGGTAGATGGACAAGTGTAGCAGCCGTAGCCCAAGTAGGGCATGGTAACAGGAGCTCAGACCTCTCAGGGACGAGGGACAAGTCATGCCATCAGGTACACCACTGAGCCCAGCAGAGATGCTATCTATGGCAGAAGGAGATCTAGAATGGATAGAAAAGGAGGGATATTATATGCTATCAGTTGTAGCCTGGGGTCGGATACATCACAGTTATTGTTTTCATTGCATTGTTGTTACAAAGTTATATCAATTGTTGCCTGGGATCAGGTATATAGCAGCCCCAGATCAGATACATAGCCTTCATTTTCTGAGTTTTCCCCTAGTAAATAAAAACTTTATGTAATTCTAGAGAAGTTGCACTCAGAATGTATACAAAGAAATTAATCTGAGATCTGAGCAGCATAAGGGGGTGGACTGTAACAAATGCTACAGTGGTGCTCCATCCAGATTGCTCTTCAAAAACAAGGAGCTTACTCTTCTAGATACTAGGAGTGCCTTTGTCTGTCAGCCCTCCTCAAAGACTGCCCCAGGTTAATATAGTTGCCATAGCTAATGTCGTGTTCCTGTCTTGCAGCAGGCTGCATCTGATGACTGGTCAAAGTAGAGTATAGACAGCCATCCCCATTACCTACCACAACTTGGGAAAACGTTAAGGACCATCCCAGTTTCAGAGCTTTGTTGGATGGAATGAGACCTTTGTTAAGAACATATCTCAGCCCAATGTCACCCTCTTTCCAATCTTGCTTTCTTCCTTTCCTTTCCCCTCCACAGGCATTGGTTCTAAGAGAACTCTCACATACACTCCCTGCATGGTAATCTCCATCTCAGAGCCTGCTAACTGGGGAAGCTGACTTAAGACATTCCTTTGCAGATTTAGTCTTTTGGAGATAGCAATAGAACCACTGAACTTCTAGAGTTAGAAGGGATCATAAGGATAATCTTTTAATAGCTCAACCACCTCATCTTATAAATGACCCCAAAGTTCAAGAGCAGACTATGACTTGCCCAAAGTTAGAGACTGAATCCCATCACCCGGGACCTTCTGCATGACGTAGATTGTTTAAGAATTGGCTTCCTGATTGAACTCTTGGTTTGACACAAAGGCTAGCAAACTACAGCTAGCCACCTGTTTTTCTAAATAAAGTTTTGCTGAAGCATAGCTGTGCTCTTTGATTTTAGGTTCTACAACAGCAGAGTTCAGTAGTCACAACAGAGATTTTATGACCCACAGCACCTAAAATATTTACTAACTGGCCCTTTACAAAAAAGTTTGTTGACTACTTTTCTATCAGATGAATCACTCAAGGTCCTGTTAGAAAAACTGTATACTAGGTATCTCAACTGAGGGAATTTAATATAGGAAACTGAGCAAGTGCATGTTGGAAGCAAAAATTACTTGAAGGGAAAAAAGCAAAAAGGTTGTACCAAGAACACAGAGTAATAACTACAGGAAGCAGCTTCTGCCTCTAGGACTGTGGATTAGAATACACAAGTTTGGAGCAGAGGTTCCACGAAGCCAGGGCTCTGAGGAAGGGTGTTGGCTGGTGCTGATCCTGATAGCTAAGGAAGAGGGGTGAGAGTGTGACAAGAGGAACACAGAGAAGCCAGAGACAATTCGTCTCCAGGCTGGAAAGACAACTCAAATCATAAATTCTGCTGGCAATACGGGGTTTATCACACCACGGGGATGCTGAAATTTCTTGCCTAGAATCGGTTTCTACTGTCAGGGCCATTCCTGGGGCAATGCTGATAGGAAACTCCAGCACATAGGGAGTTCTCACCTCTTTTTGTCTCCTAGTCTCCCTCTAGTGTTCCCTGTGGTCAAACCTTCAAGAAGCTGGCAGGTAAAGCAAGTATATGGCTTGCATAGTCGATTCTGGCACAGCAGAGCAGAATATAGAAGCAGATGAGAAATAAAAACACAGTTGACCTGCCCTGTAGGCAAGGATGATACAAAAGCTGCCAGTTAGCTGCCATCTCAAGCTCTCCCCAGGCCTGGCATTACTGGAGAAGGAGTAGGGTGTCAGGAGAAATAGGCCTACACCTCACAGAGTTGCCCTGCTTGGGATCTGGAGGTCCTCTCCTATCTGTGGGCAAGTCATAGGGAAAATGGTTAGATTAATGGGTGAGTCAAAGATATGCTTTAGGGACTGTCGGGATAAGCCTATAAAGAAGCATTCTTAACTGCCCCAGGATAAAAGTGAAATGAAGTGAAGTGAAAGTTGCTCAGTCGTGTCCGACTCTTTGCGACCCTGTGGAATATACAGTTCATGGAATTCTCCAGTCAAGAATACTCGAGTGGATAGCCTTTCCCTTCTCCAGGGGATCTTACCAACCCAGGGTTCAAGCCCAGGTCTCCTGCATTGCAGGCGGATTCTTTACCAGCTGAGCCACAAGAGTGCCTCAGAATACGTCTTACCAAGTATATCTGCTTCCTTCACAACTTAAATTAATATTATGAATCTCATTAGCTCTGATTCATTCGACTGGGGTTGTATGTCCATCTCTGACCCAGTCACTAGGACAAGAGGAATTAAATGCTCTGACTGGCTTAGCCCAGGGTCCCACTTTATCCCTGGAATACTGGGTATGAGGGTGGGGAGGGGAAATGAGGGGTCCATTTCATTTGAATCAAATGGATTCAGAATGGGAAGGAGGAGTTCCTCCAAAATCAAGTCACCATAGTGTTACCAGTGAAAAAGTCCTGAATCAGAGGGAATGGTCAGGGCCCTAATAGAGTGTGAACAGAGTGTGGTGAGAATGCAGAGAGGCCAGAGATGATTTGTCTCCAGGCTGGGAAGACAGCTCAAATCATAAGTTCTACTGGCAACATGGGGGTTATTATAGGACTTAGCCAGAAAATCCAGATGAGCCTGGCTGACCCAGAGTTCAGACAGACTCACATGGTACAGTGACTGATTGGGTGATCTCAGTGTCAGGCAGGATGGAGGGTGTATGGGGTGAGGTGGGGCTAGGTTGCCAAGTGTATCAGACTTGGGTACACTTAGTGACTCAACAGGTGGCTGTGTGAAGAGGAAGAGGTCCAGACTCGCAGCAGGAGGTGAGCCAAGATAAAAGGATACGACTAACACGGGTGGCCCTAGCCATGCAGGGCTGAGCTCACCCTCTTCTGCCATGAGAAATGGTGATTTCCCAGCAGGTGGCAACATCTCTGGAATTGTCCCGGCTTTCCCCGTAACCCCCTCTTTGTCATTCTCTGGCTCCTATGGGTTATGTTTCCTGGACTCTCAACAGAACTTATTTCTGTCTGGGATCAGCCAATTGGAGACACTAGTGGGAGATAAAAGAGTGGGAAGAAGAGAAACTAGACTGTTTCTCACCTTTCCTATCTATCTAAGGCAGCATCTCCAGTGGCAAATATACCAATTACAATTTTTTTAACTTCTCTTCCATGGTTCTAGTCTTTCACCACTGTGCATGATGTTATTTGGTAGGTTTTTGACAATGGCCTCTATCAGGTTGAGGAAAGTCTCTTTTATTTCTAGTTCACTTAAATTTTAAATCATAAATGACTGTTGGACTTTGTCAAATGCTTTTTGTGCATCCATCAAGATGACTGTAAACTTTCTTTTATTCTTTAACATGGTGAATTATATTATTGATTTTTAAAAATGTGAAATCAGCCTTGCACTACTGAGACAAAATTTATTTGGTCATGATGTGTTATCCTTTTTATACACTGCTGTAATTGATTTGCTAATGTTTTGTTAAGGACTTTAACCCATATGTTCAGGAAGGACATCGGTCTATAATTTTCTTGTGTAGATTTTTTCAGTATTGTTATCACAGTTTTTCTGGCCACACAAAAATGAATTGGCAGACTGTGCCAGTTATCAACCTATGGCTTTTCAACTCCAAATCCATTCTTCTTTGCCTGCTCTGTGATCAAGGAGATGGTCATGAGAGTGTTTCTCTTTCGTCAGCACATGCCATGGTCAGCTTTGTCAGTAGAGAATGCTAGAGTGGCACCAGAGGAGTACAGCATTTCTTCTTCCTGCAGCCTGAGCTCCCAGTGCTGAGGTGCCTCAGCATGCTGGCTCCTCCACCTCCCTGCTCCCGCGGCACACGGCAGCCAGCAGCCTTCCTGGGTACCTCTCCAGGTGGCTTGGCAGGGGAGTGCTTCTGGTGAGGCCCCTCCCAGCAACTTTGGAGCAAGTTCCAAAGCATAGCACCTTGCTGTGGCTGACACACTTCTGCATCCCAGAAGGCAGGTTTCCATCGAGTCACATGGCACCTCAGGCACCTGAGCAACCTCTCCACCATCCAATGAGCCATGCCGTGTCCTCTTCCATGAAGTCTGGATCTCAGCCCAGGGAGGGGGATCCCAGCCCCTAAAGAATAGTGGCTAATCATTATGTTTGCTATTCCTGTATTTTCTAGGGTTCTCTTTCAGTCTTACTGGACAATTTCTTCTTATCCCTCTACTTCTTGTTACTGCTTTTAATATTAAACTTCAATTTACTGTTTGACTTACCATGTGGTTTCTGTCTCCTGATTGGACCCCGAATGATACAGAAGTTGTCCTTCCTTTTCTATTTTACAAAAGAGTTAAAGATTGATATGTTATTCTTAAAATTGACAATATTTCCTCATTATCCTTATAAATTCTGTAGGATGTCTAATGATACCACTTCATTCCTGATACTGGTGTTTTGTTCTCTCTCTTTCTTCTTGACGAGTCTAGGTAGGGACTTATGAACTTTATTACTCTCTTCAAGAAACAGACTATTTTTTCTGTTTCAGTAGTTGCAGCTCATGGGCTCTAGAGAGCAGGGTCAGTAGTTGTAGCACATGGGCTTAGTTGCTCCACAGCATGTGGAATCTTCCTGGACCAGGAGTCAGAGCCATATCCCCTGCATCAGCAGGTGGGTTCTTACTCACTGTGCCACCAAGGAGGTACTGACATAGCTTTTTATTGTTTATCATTTTTGGTTCTCTTCATTTCTTCCTCTAGAGCTGGGTTATCATTAGGTATCATTTCCCTTCAGTTTGAAGAAACTCCTTTAGCATTTCTTACAGCCCAGCTCACTGGAGACATATTATTTCTGATTTCATTTATCTGATAA